AGAGAGAGATCAAAAACCAATGTTTAAATCCTATATATGTTGTCAATGTTTAAATCCCTATATAGTGTTGTCAATGTTTAAATCCTATATAGTGTTTGTCAACGTTTAAATCCTATATAGTGTTGTCAACGTTTAAATCTATATACTGTCAACGTTTAAAATCCTATAAATATGTAATGTTTAAATCCTATATATCTGTCAACGTTTTTAAATCCTATATACTGTCAATGTTTCCTCTTTTATATATCTGTTGTCAATGTTTAATCCTATATACTAGTCAATATTTAATCTTATATACTGTCAATGTTTTAAATCCTATAAATACGTCAATATTTTTTATAATCTTATATACTGTCAATGTTTAAATCCTTATATACTGTTGTCAATGTTTAAATCCTATATACCTGTCATATTTAAATCTTTATATACTGTCAATGTTTAAATCTTATATACTGTTGTCATGTTTAAATCCTAATATACTGTCAATGTTTAAATCCTATATACTATCAATGTTTAAATCCTATATACTGTCAACGTTTAAATCCTATATACTGTCAATGTTTAAATCCTATATACTGTCATTAGACCCAGTGTTTCCCCCTCACATACAGTCAGTGGTTTCTAATATGACCCATCGGCCCTACTTAAAGCAGCGGAGTGCAGTGAGGAGTGCAAAGTGATTGGAAGTTTGAATTGCAACGTTCGGCTGTAACGTTATTAACGTTATACTGTCAGTTCGGACCGGGCTAACGGTCGTTCCGGCCGTTGACCAACGTTGACCGGATCACGGAGTAGTGCTATGTGTTGCCTCGACCTCTTTTCTAGTTGTTGGAAAACTAGCGTTAACTATTTTGTTTTGCGGATGAAACTCAGCCAACTGTTATTATTTATTTTCTAATAATAAATAACGGTCGTAAACTCATTTTTAAATTGTAAGACATTTAAAAAAAAGCAGTAAGCACGAGGAGTTTGGCTGAAGCCACGCCTCACTTCCTCGTACCGCGGTGACGTCAGTGTCAGCCACGCCGCCGGGTGTCTGTAGCTGCAGTGCGGACGGTGAGTGAAAGTTTACTCTCTCTGATGAAACATTCACACAACATTACGCTTCCACTGCATTTTCAGCTTTGAGCCGCAATGTCTACTAAACTGTTCTCTGTTAACAACACCGTTTTCAAATGTTTGAACACCGCCCTGAACACGCGAGGCTTTAGGTAAGACACTTTATTTGGATGTTTTGTAGTTAGCTCCTAGTATTGTTATTATAAGGAATATCACATGCATTGTGCCTTCATTTGTTTCTTCTTCTTGTCAGCGTTGGAGCTGCTTCCCTCGGTTCAGTTAGTTTGAAGGGTCGCAGCTGTCTCACTCTGAAGGATTTCAGCTCAGAGGAGATCAAGAAGCTGCTGTGGGTGTCTGCGGATCTGAAACACCGGATCAAGCATGAAAAACAGGTAGCTGACATTAACTAACCAATGTTAACTGCAGTGTCCTTTCATTAGGAGTGCCCTGTTTCTTTTAAGGAAGCTAACTGTCATTTCTATTTCAGTATCTTCCTCTTCTACAAGGAAAGTCGATTGCAATGATATTTGAGAAGAGGAGCACCAGAACAAGAATGTCCACAGAAACAGGTGTCTGTTTTGTATATAAGCATCTACACTGGTGTATGCCATGTGCTCCGGTTAAACATCCCCATAAATCACAGAATACTGGAGGTGGGCACATTTTATAAAGGCAGTAGGCAGCTTTCAAGTGTCAGATTTACACTTGAAATTGCACTTATTGGAACAACAACAACAGAAATGTTTCATCCCGTACTGTTAGAGAGGCTGATACTATTCATCAGTGTGCTCAGCGGTGTAAAAGCACTGTAAGTATGGACACAAAAGAACTGCTGAAAGGCGACTCTCTGTTGGAACAAAACGGTCTACATCTACAAAACACTCCTCTTGTCCCCTGTATGGTCCCTTCACACACAGGTTGTGTGCTTATTGTTTAAATATATACATATATATATATATATATATATATATATAACTGTTTTTTAAGCACGAGGGAAATTTAAGTTGCCTTAATGTCACGATTCTAGGATTTGCTTTGCTGGGCGGGCACCCCTGTTTCCTCACCTCTCAGGACATCCACCTGGGAGTGAACGAGAGCAACACAGATACAGCAAGGTGAGTCTCATACGTACGCTTTCACTTGTTCACTCAGTAATTAAATGAATGTCAGGTAATCGTTGTTAGCATGGTGTTTTCAGTGTAAGTCTGCTTTACATATTGTAATACTGGTGAGTTTGTCACTGTAGTCATCTCATGTTGTCTGCTGAGGCTGAAGGGAAAGAGTAGTGTTAGTGGGCCAGTATATGAGACACAGCCCACCGGGTATCCCTCTGTAATCTCTGAACTCCCACCACAGGGTTCTCTCAGGACTCTGTGATATTGTCTTGGCACGAGTGTACAGCCACTCCACACTGGAGGAGCTGGATAAGGAGGCCTCCATCCCCATCATTAACGGTCTGTCTGACCTCTACCACCCAATCCAGATTATGGCTGACTTCCTCACTTTACAGGTACTTCAGATCCTCATTATACTCCATGTCACTATCATCCAGTGAATGAGAGTGACGTAGTATATTTTTAAATTACTACCATTCTCACCCAGGAGCATTATGGGTCCCTTAGTGGACTAACGGTGAGCTGGATTGGAGATGGGAACAATGTCCTCCACTCCTTCATGATGACTGCAGCCAAACTGGGAGTTCATCTTAAGATTGCTACACCAAAGGTTTGCCTCGTTTTATGTGCTTACAAACATTCGGCGTCTCTTTTAGTGCACTTCTCTTCTTTCAAGTAGGTTATTTTTATGTAGTTTGCAGGTATAGATGCAAGCTGTCAGCCGTAAGCATCTAATCTCCCAGTTGCTTCTTGGGAGAAGAGACCTATGGTTCTGTAATGTTCATCAGTAATCCTTCTACAACTCTACCTTACAGGGGTATGAGCCAGAAAAGAGTGTCATTCAAGAGGCTCAAAGACTCTCTAAAGAGGTGAGGTCTTCTTCAGGTGTCATTATTATAAACAGACCTCTTGTCAAAGGAGTTCTTATTAATTCAGTTCATACATTGCGTTTTGTCTCAGCACGGGACCCAGCTTGTTCTGACCTCTGACCCGATGGAGGCCGCCCACGGCAGCAATGTCTTGGTCACTGACACCTGGATCAGCATGGGGCAGGAGGAGGAGAAGAAAAAGAGGCTCAAAGACTTTCAAGGTTACCAGATTACGATGCAGGTAAAGAAGGATACTGTCTTGGTGTCATTTAGTGTCATTTTGTTTTTTAGACTCTTTGTGGCTTGAAACTGAATAACGTTCACACACAACATACCAGTAGCTTTTGGAGAAGTTAGCAGTTGTTTTCAGTCAGTTCCCGAATCGGTCCCTTTTGACAGCTGTACACAAAAGCAAATCAGTCCCGAGCAAAACAATTTCTCCGTCTCAAACGTGCTCCTGCTGACGGCTGCACACAGAGCAGTAGAAGGTAAACCTCTGCAAACTGTTTGTGTGGTAAACTAGCTTAACACTAATTACAGACTTCATCTGACATATAAATCAGCAAGCAAGCTTTAAATAAAACTCTTGCACAGTACGTGATTATATACTGTAGGTGATATCATTTTCTGAAAAAAAAAACACACTAATTATATTCTATTAAAAATATGTCTATGTTTGGAAAGTAAATACATTTGTCACTGTGCAAAGAAGCAGAAATGTATGTCGAGCACGCACAGTGATTGTACGTGGTCTCTTTTCTTCTTGTATTATGAGTTGAAATTGGTCTTAACTCCGCGTTTTGGCTCTGGTCCACTACAGACAGGAAGTGTGGCCAAACCAGACTGGACCTTCCTGCATTGTCTGCCCCGGAAATTGGAGGAGGTTGATGACCAGGTATTTTACTCATCGCGCTCCCTCGTCTTCCCCGAGGCAGAGAATAGAAAGTGGACCATCATGGTGAGGAACCTGATTTAAACACTATTATTTAATGTTTTATACCAGTATTGGTTTAATCTGATCCTTACAACCGTCTTCTCTTTCAGGGTCTGATGGTTTCTCTTCTGACTGACTACTCTCCACAGATCCCCATGCTCAAGTTTTAATTTCAGGTCTGAAGGTGGACACATATTAATTAATATGATTTATGCAGAGTTCATTGTCAGATTTTACCCATTGAGAGCACCATCACAACACAAGATGGATTACCCCAAAGTAACTGTGTTTACATTGTTAAATTTACTTTTTGATTTAGAGCAAGGATGACATTGTTTGTCTTTGACTGTTGCTGTGCAATCATTACAAAGTTATGTTGACGTTCTACATGTACTGTGACAGAGAGCGAGGATCATGGCGGTGATAGCAGTGAAGGTTATAGTGGGAATGTATTTGTTAGATGTGTTACTGGAAAGGAAAAGATTACTGAGCCTTTCTTCAATGTGTTTAATGTTGTCTTGACTTCACAAGTAGCATAAACATGAAGAGAACCCAGTCAGCTCGAGCCGACCAATCACATTCCTTGCAGTCTTCACATGCTATTTATGAAGCTGCTGTAACCCCAACATCTAGTTACATTTTTGAGGACATGCACATTGTTTATGCCTAAGCCCTTTAATGTACATGTATGAATCTGGTTTTACTGCCAAATTCCTTGTTAACACCACAATCCTAAATTACTGCACCACTTTAAAACAAACAGAGTATACCAAATCAGTTTGTAAACATCTGAAACAGGCTTTTGCTAACGTAATGCATCATACATAGCATTATGGATTATATGGTGTTTAGCAAATGGGCTGAAAAATGGACAAAAACAGCCGTATCTCATATGATTAAACCTTACATTTTTTATATCCTTTTAAGTCTGATTGTATACAAATGTGCCTTTTACATCATGCTCATCACGTGTTTAATGCCCTCTCTGAGTGTTGTGTGTTGTCTCTCGAGAGCCTGTGATGCATGAATGATGAAACAAAACTGAGAGAATCAAGTTATTGTTCACAAACTATAAATAAAGACGTTACTCTCTGTTCATAATTTGAAGCAAAAGGCTTCACTAGTCCAGATTTTGTTACTGTGGAACCTCAGTGTCTAAAATCCAGGGTTTAATGATTAATTCAATTAAATTAATTTACTGTTACAATGACAATTAGAGATAGTTACTTCATTTAGGTAGTTAATTTTTTTTTCTGTTGTCTGAACTTCTGCTCTAGTAAAATACACTAACTGTACTAATTGGGTACATTGAAAATATTTGTATTTACTTTTTTAGTTGATGTTTGTGAAGCCACAGAGTGAGCAAACATATGAGATATGTCTAAAAATAATCATACAATAACCAAAGTAAACTCCAAAAACAAAGAAAAAACAATAACTCTTGAACATTGGTATTGTACTCCCGCCTCCCTCCTATAAACCATAACACCTGAAGACCACAACCCCATCTCCCCTTCAGACCTAACGGAGGTGCAGATCATCTACAGAAAGGATTTAAATAAAAACAATATATAATAATCATAATAATACTAATTCTCATGTTGAGCTTTAAAGGTGATACACATCAGTCGGTCTGTGTTTGGTGTCTTGTCATACATTTGTTTACTTGGACAAATTATATATAATTTATAATGACAGTCCACATTTGAAGCAGTGTTTAATCTGGCTTTAATCAACTTATTGCACATTATCAGCACCAGTTTAATGCTTAATGACTCAGAGTTTTAAAGGTTGAGGGTTGGGATTATTATGCACGTAATAAAGCAGTGATTCATGGTTGTGACAGTCAGACAGAGTGCGCCCCCCAATGGCTGGAGTTGGTATCGTCCCGGTGTTCTGATTGGATGGCGGAAGACAACGTGTTTGTGCGGGAAGCTTTGATGTTCGTGGGTGGTCCAGGCGGATAAAAATGATGCTGCGTAGTAACTTCATTCATAAACACCGCCAGGCTGCTATTAAAGAAATACACATGCGTAGTGTACATTGTTTTTGTAAACATAAATACAAAACGCCTACACTAACCACACGTTGTATCCCAGACAGAATAAAAATGTACTTTTATGCCTTTCAACACATCGTGATGATAAAAAATAATGGGGGAGAAAAAAAAAAGAAGAAAAAAAAAGCATATAAATGAAACGCAGCAGCACGACACACGACAACCACAGAGAAATAGCGTTAGCAGCCCCACAGGCGATATAAAAACAAGGCAATGGTTCCTCGGCGACCACCCACACAGTGAAGGAGTCAGCGCTCAGAGGGAGCTGAGGTGGGAGGAGGACGACGACGCCATTGCAGCCGCAGCTGGCCGTTGGCCGTTGGTGATTCGACTGAGGACGTTAACAACGGTCACTATGTCGGAGAGCTTCCGACCGTTACTGGGTCAGACTGTGGAAACAGACGAGCTGTCTTTGAGGAGGAGAAAATGTGGAGCCACAGCGCCGAACCAAAGCAGGTATAAGAGGGATAGAGCAGAGTGTGTGTGTGTGTGTGTCTGTCTGTGTGTGTGCGGGGGGACAATGGGAGAAAGTTTGAGCTAACCCAGGCTAACTAACTTAACTAACGGTGCTAACTGGTGTCAGTGTGAGGAGCTGCAGCCGCTCACTCCTCTACCGCTGTACACAAACCTTACATATCGCTCGGTTACTCGTTCAAAGTCCACTTTAAACCAGTTACTTAACGCCACGGTGAAAGATATGCGTTTCTGCTTCACGATAAGGGTGAATTTTTTGCTGGGCTGGAGCTCAAACTGTGATTACAGGCGGTTTATCAGTGAGGATTTCAGCCTGAAGGCTTTTGAGTTGGTGTGAAAACTATGAAACTATATAATAACTCAGATATATGGTGAACTATTAATTTAATCTAACTTTATCCGGTGGTAGAAACAGTGTTACGGTCTTCTGCTTAAAAGTAAAAGTAGCTTATTTACAAAGAAAAGTCCTGCATTCTTAATAAGTCTGATCTGCTTCTTTATTATTATTATTATTATTATTATTATTATTATTATTTATTACAATTATTTATTACATTATTGGATATTATTATTATTATTTATTACAATTATTTATTACATCATTGGATTATTAGTACAGATGCCGGCTGGACCTACTATTGACACATTTATACACTATTGGCTAGTTTAATTTATGCAAATAGATGTTATTTGATACATTTAAGATGTGTTTTGTATGTAAAATGTTAATCTGCTATAAGTAACCTGTAACTAGAGCTGTTTAGATAAATGTAGTGGAGTAAAATGTGCAGTGTTTACCTCTGAGGTTTAGTGGAGTCGAGCTATAAAGTAGCAACAAAAGGGAAATACTTTAGTTAACTACAAATACCTCAGAACTGGGTTTTAAGTGTAATACTGAAATGTACTTCATTACTTTCCACCACTGCTTTAAAGCAGCTCAGTGTGTTCATACAATCTTCTACTTCAATCCAAAGAGTATCTTTCCAGGACCACATCAGTGTTTGTTTTTTATGTTTGAGGACGTTTACTTAAAATCACATTACATCACAATAACCATTCTTGCAGCCACTTGTTTCATTTCTGTGCAGCATGAAAAGCAAACAGGCTCTAGATGTGTAATGCCTCACTGTGAACATAGTCTGTGTTAATGTTTGTCAAAGTTACATTACTCTGCAACTATTTTCATATTTGAATACTTGTTTAATTCAGTTATCAAACGTTCTCTGGTTCCAGTTTCTGAAATGTCAGGATTTGCTTCTTTTCTATTTTTTATATATATAGTTGTAACTTAAATATAATTGGGTTTTGCTCTGTCGGTCAGACAAAAGAGAGAATAAATCACCTTAGAGTTTGAGAAATACGGTTACAACGGTGTGAGATTTTCACAGTACGGTAAAAAAAATATCCCGGTTTCACAATATGACACAATTATTACTGCTGTCAGTTACAGTGATCCTTAAAGGAGGAAAACAGACACAAAATATTATGTCCTGATAGACATTACACTTAAACTTAAAATATAGTTGTAATAACACTAATACAGTAAAATTCAGTATTTAAAAAAAAACACTAATACAGAAAAATTCAGTATTTAAAAACAAAAAAAAACACTAATACAGTAAAATTAGAAGAAAAAGGAGATTTTTTATCAATGCCGTCTCTGTAACACCCTTGGACTCCCTTTCTAACCATGTTTTTCTCCTAACAGTCTCCCCCCAGTCCTTCCCCTGTCTGGTGGCGCGGCCTCTCACCATGAACACCAGTAGGAACTGCACGGCGGTGGGGAATGGTGAGGGTCTGGCTGCCCTGGAGTCCGTCTCCATTGTGACCATCACACTGCTCGCCTGCCTGGGGAACCTCTTGATTGTGGCAACCCTTTATCGCAGGCCTTACCTGCTCACACCCAGCAACAAGTTCGTGTTCAGCCTGACCCTGTCCAACCTGCTGCTGTCCACGCTGGTGCTGCCGTTTGTTGCCGTGAGCTCGGTAAAGAGAGAATGGGTGTTTGGGGTGGTGTGGTGTAACTTCACCGCCCTGCTCTACCTGCTCATCAGCTCTGCCAGCATGCTCACCCTCGGAGCTATTGCCATTGACAGGTTAGTGCTGGATAATTGTTGAACTCGTACTCGGTTGGATAATCCCTGTTTAGGCATATGTTTAAATCATTTAAGAAGTGAATGTTGTTTCTTTAAAGCTGCGTTCATTAATTCAGCCACTGTAGGGAAGAACGACAAGCTTTAAATGCAGCATATTAATAATAATATTAATAATATAACATATTATCACCGGATTAAGTTGTTACCAATTTGTTCACATGCCCTTGAGCAAGGCACTGGAATACAATGACGAGTGCAGCAGCTCACTGACTCCGGTTAATCAGAGAAATAAAACACTATTCTCTGATTGTTTCACTGCGGCCGATCGCTGCTACGTCTGATTTGGTCTGAATACGGCCTTTTTAGGCAGCGCATAGCTGAGAAGGAATGTTTGAATTGAACACATTCGTTCCATTGTGATTTAATAAGTCACGACCCAGACAAAGTGCATTTTTAAGATGATGTGTTTTCACAAAAAACAAGTGTTGTTGCCAGTGGAGCAGTTTGAGTATTTATGTCTGCAATAAATACATAGATCCTTAGAAAATACATAGACATCAGTCTTGAGTTGGTGGTTGTTATGTGATTATCAGTTGTTACCTTGCAAAGCTGTGGTCAATTAGTATTTAGTTTAGGTATACACGTATGGTTACATTTCCATATGAACTACTGGAGGAGAGGATTCAATCAATTTAAACACAATAAGGCTTTTTATTCATAAGCACAGATGGAGGAAATTCAAATGTCTGATGTTCTCAAAGGCGAAAGTGTTAATTTTCACAAGTGAGCGTGAGATGTAACGGCAGATATTTCAGTTACAAGACTGACTTCAATTTGCATTCAGTTCATTTTGGGAACTCATAAAAATTCTCTTTTTGAGGTTGGCAGGATCCCGATTACAGCTGTCACAGTTGGTATCAAAGTGAACAACAAAGCATACAGCACTGTAAGTGGTGTCCGTCTTTATGCAGTGATAATATCTTCCACTGAGTGACAACAGCTGCTACCACTGAAAGTATTTCATAAAAGCCATCAGATGGGGATTTCACTAAAATTCTGGGATCTCGTTAATTCTCTCTAAATAAAGCACAATTATCTTTCCTTTCTAGTAAATGTGAGATGTATCTTTAAGTGAACGTGAGATTTGACTGTTTGTGGTGTTACTGGCTTTGAAAGAAACGTATTCATGTTCTGAAACTTTAGATGTTGTTTTTGGTGCGTTTCCCTTTAAGGTCAGTATGTAGCCTTGTAAATAAGATTGGTTAACCACACACTTAGGTCGTGGTATTTTTCTGGAGATTTTCCCGGCTCAAGTGACGAGCATTAGGCAGGCTTACACAAAGTAACTTTGAATGTGAACCGACATGAATGCACCATTCATCTGCAGGGCTCAGATTATTTCCATTGATTCCTATTTATAGAAATAAGAAACTGATAAACCAATAAAACCCTACAAAGATGAAGCTAATTCAGCACTTTCACAGTCACAGACTAACTTTTTTCATTGCTTATTCTTTGACTAGATTTTTACTCATTTCAATAACAATTTGGTTCATTTACACGGTTTTTTCTTTGGACAAAGTTAATTTATGTTGTTTTGTGTTAAGATAAAATTACACAGTTTATTTGGGGAAAAGGGGCTCAAAAAAGGGGAAATGTTTATATTCCTTAATGTAGGTTATGAAAACTGTTGGTATTGGTCCTGTAAGTCCGTTCTCATTAAAACTAAACCCAGATCTATTAAGAGGTAGTGAGCCATAAAAGAACACACACTATAAAGATGATTGATTAAACATTTAATAATAAAAACATTTTTATCAATTGAAAAGAGGCCCAACAAACATTCCTGGTTCTGGTCAAACAGAAGCTCTGATGATGTCCCGTGGGGCTCTGGGTAATTGCATATTTACTTTGAATGTTATACAGTGGGGGGGAAATAAAACATTTAATAAAAGAATAATTAACTAATTAATCCAAAATGAAGATAGTTGTTAGTTACAGCCTTAAAGTTCAGTAAAGTAAAACACATTTGTGTGGGGTCACTGTGGTTACAGTTGTATTGTGATCCCTGTTGTCAGGTATCACCCAGGACTGTAAAATGTAGTTACTATGATCTACTGTAAACGAGCTCAGCAGCATACAGTCACTGTTCTCACTGCTGTCCTAATTACCCTCAGCACCTTGGGGGATTTTTGATTACAGTGCATGTTTTTGTTCTCCCTGCCAAGCTCTCCTGTTCTGTTTGCAGCTTTTCAGAAAACACTTTTCACAGCGTTGTTGTTTTGCTTCTGTATCACTCACAATGAGCAGTCTCTCTCTGTTACTGGGACCAGACGGCTCCCTCGAGTTTCTTCACCGCGTTGCTCTTTCGTACCAACAGGTACTACGCAGTGCTTTACCCGATGATCTACCCCATGAAGATCACAGGAAACCGGGCGGTCGTCGTCATCGCCTACGTGTGGTTACACTCCCTGGTCGGCTGTCTGCCTCCTCTGTTCGGCTGGTCGTCCTTCGAGTTCGACTGCTTCAAGTGGACGTGTGTTGCGTCTTGGCACAGAGAGCCGAGCTACACCGCCTTCTGGGTCACCTGGTGCACCCTTCCCCCGTTCGTCATCATGCTGGCCTGTTACGGGGTCATTTTCCGCGTTGCCCGCATGAAAGCCAGGAAGGTGCACTGTGGGACAGTTGTTGTTGCCCAGGACGACTCCAGTGGATCTCAGAAGAACGGACGAAAAAACTCAAGCACCTCAACTTCCTCTAATGGAAGCCGGCGGAGCCTGGTGTATGCAGGGAGTCAGTGCAAGGCCTTTGTCACCATCTTAGTGGTGGTCGGCACTTTCCTCATGACCTGGGGACCGTACGTTGGGGTGGTGTGCACCGAGGCTTTGTGGGGACAAGGCAGCGTGTCTCAGGGACTGGAGACTTTGGTGGCGTGGCTGTCTCTGTGCAGCGCCGTGTGCCACCCGCTTATCTACGGCCTGTGGAATAAAACTGTGAGGAAGGAGCTGCTGGGGATGTGTTTCGGAGATCGCTACTACAGAGAGTCGTTCGCCACGCGGCAAAGGACGTCTCGTCTCTTCAGCATCTCCAACAGAATCACAGGTGGGAGAGCAGCGAGTGGCCTTCAGTCTGCTGTTTCAACATGTTTCTGTAAACTGTAAACTGTAAACAGTAGTGGGAGGTGTAAGTGCAGAGCGTGCTGGGGTAAATATTGAATGGGTAGTGTGATAAGTAGATGCAGTGGGTGGTTTATGTATAATATATATATACAGCCTGTTTAGATCGTGTTGTTGTGAGTCAAAGTGTTGGATGACGTTGTACAACTAGAACCTGCTTGTGTTCTTTCAGACCTCGGTATGTCCCCACACCTGACAGCCATGCTGGCCGGTGGTGGCCATCTGCTGGCCCCAGGGAGCAGCACAGGAGACACTGGCTTCAGTTTCACTCAGGACTCATGTAAGTGTTGCTCACAGGAAGCAGAAGGAATGGCTACACTACAGTAATCAGTAATCAGTGACTTCTAAACAGGAAGTGGCTCACAATCTACAAGTATAGAATCTAAATCCTGGACCCTTTAACTAGTTTATACTTTAATAACTACGCTTGTGCTTGTTACACACAACACAGACCAACTAACAAAGGTTTCCTATGCTGAGAAACAACATAAAGACTGGTGATGTGAAGCTGGAAACAAGGTGACAACTTCAGAAACTTTTTGAAAAAAAAGATGACCTTTTGTTTCGTGTCTAAAACTCAAATACAGTCAATTTACAGTAACATAAAAAGAGAAAAGCAGCAAATTATCGCATCACAACCAGAGATAATATATTGCTTAAAAAACGAATTAGACAAATAATCTGCCAAACTCTGATCAAAATCACTGGACTAATCAACAATCAATGAATTGTCTCAGATCTACAATATACTGCTGTCCTGAGTTATATTTAATGCTAATATTTAGTCAACAACAGGCAGCAGTGATTGTTTTATCAGCAGATGTTGCATCTTTACTGACAGATGTGTTGATGCCATTAAACTCCTGCTTTTGACAAACGGACCGTTGAACTTAACTTGAACATAAAATGGAGATAAAGTGATTCACGCGTCAACATGAGGTTTCGAAAGGCTGGCAGACGGTAACTCTGTTGCGTCATACTCCCACAGCTTTGTAACAGTCGGCCTCACATTCCTGTTTCACAGCTCATGGTTTTCAGTTCAGGATGGCAAAGGTAGGGCAAGTAACGTCATGTATAATACAAAGAAATGATCATCCAACTCATTTGTGTCCTTTAATTAAGCTGCTGGCTGCTTTCACATTGTGGGGTTTCTGTAAATGACTGCTCTCAATTAAACAGCCTTTTTTTTTTTTTTTGTCTCTGCAATGTCTCGCATGCAGGCACAGACGTGATGCTGCTGGATAACTTCTCCACAGACGGCTCCTCCCACACACAGCACCACGGGCATCCGTCGGGGAAGAGGAGGAGCTCGGTCACCTTTGAAGACCAGGTGGAGCATTCCAAAGGTATCTGTCGTCATCCGGCCCCACAAAAGATTAGAGGGAAGGGAGTTCGCTTTATACTTTATACTTTTGGAAAATCACGTTGTGGTCCCTCAACAAGGCGTCACACTGAGCTTAAGATTTCTTTACTGTGACGTTTCTCTGTTGAACCTCACGAATGATCTGCGTTTTTCTCCTCAGCTGAAAACACCAACGCGTCCTCAGTTCAAGTCCACGCAGAGGTTCACAAATCTCTCGACACCTTTGCCTCCTGTCTGGCGAAGGCTATTGAGAGCGATGCTAAGCTCACCCTGTTTGGGGAGGATCTGGGTCTGCCGGGGGGACTGTTTACAACCAGGGCAGCACCGAGACCCAGATACCTGGATGGTCAGAGACTGAGGCTGGAAAGCATCGACGAAGGGATCGTTAAAGACGACAGAGATGAAGAAGAGCTCGATGTGGAGGAAAAAGCAGCCTGAACACAGCTGTACATGCTTATAGGCCATACTCAGTTTATTAGTGACCTACTATATGTGACCATTCGGTGCTTGTCCTGCTCTGTTTATGAAGTCTGATCGCTCTACTCGTGGGTACTCCATACTTGAAATTATTAGAAAACAGGAAGAAGCGCATTATTCATTCCACTAAGTTGGACCAAGTTCACACCATCAGTGTCTTTACAAGTGTTTGTATGCATTAATGTAATCAAATAGGAAGCCTTAACTACTGTATCCTAAATGATCTGATTGTAGTAATTGGTTTATTACTATATGTTATTGTATGTCCTCAGGACAATAACGTGTCTCATTAGGGCTGGGCAATATGAAAGAAATACAGTTGTTTCTAAATGACTGTTATTAGATCTCTTTAAAGTGTCTCCTTTATTATATGTTAAAGTACGGTTGGAAGCTCAAGTTCTCTCTCATCAGGAGCAGACGAAGAGTCAGTTTAAGCTTGTACTGCACACTGATGGTCCACATGTAGTTTCCACTTGTTGTGCCTGATTAGATCGATCTCTTTATTGTGTGACTGTGGTCAAACAACAAACTATGTGAACAAACTAAACTTGATTGATCCTTAACTTGTACCTTTATCAGTCTTACAGATACATGATGACCTCATAACTCCCAACAATAATGGTTTTAATTACCTTGAATGACGGACTTTGGCTGATGTGAGGGATCCATATTTGGACGTTTTTCTGTTTATATTAAGTGCCAACATATCAGAGCTGTGAGGAAAATCTCAGTTTCTCAGTCGTACAGTAATTAAAACCTCGTTAATAACTTTGATATATAAGTAGAGGTCTAATCAGCCAGAATCAGTGAAAACGAGTGCAGAGCCTTTAATGTCATTCAGCAGAAATAAGTGTCCAGAGTCGTCGGGGTGAAGAAATCACAGTTATAGTTTTTTGTTTTTTTATTTTCACAGGAGACATTTTGACACGTCACAGTAGGAAAAGCTCAGGTGTAAATAATAAAGTTAATGATGGCTGACTTCCATTTAGCTGCTTCAGTTTCCTGAAAGTCCTGTTGTTCTCACTGACTCACTGGGACACTTGAATACAACAGAGACATTGTTAATGTTATTAGTAACACCTGTGATCTTCCTACAATGACAGCTCATCTCAGGTGAGCTGAAAACACCCGATGTTTCAAATAAATAATGTAATTCATCATAAGAAAACCTTAACATTATTGTAAATGGTACAGTATGTCCACGTATTGCCCAGCCCTGAGCTTCATCATATGAACTGAATGTGTTGGCCAACACTTAAAGTGGCAGATAGGGTACTTGCAGAGTGACGGGGTGCTTATCGTGTACCTGATGTAACCACAAACGGGGATAGTCCTGACATTTCATGATTATCTGCTACAGTAATTGCACTTGAACAAGTAGTGTGTACTTGTTCTCATAGAAACCACTCACCCAACAAATGGGTTAATGAGTAAATGAAGTCCAGTCATTTACTTTATGTTGCTATATTGGTTGATTGAAGGTCAACTCACAGAAAAAGAAAATTGTGTTTGGTGTCAAATTGGAGTTCTGGTCTTAATCTACAACACTGTAATACTCATTGGTACTTGTGGTTTACCTCAGTTGAGACCCTCCACCGCTCCCTTTACTATTATATAAGGAACTCAGAAGACATTTGTAATTAGTAGAGCACAATTCTGGTGCTTCAGTCTTACCTCGTCGTATCTTCATATTATGTTTGAATGGTACTACTTTTGTAGGAAAAAGCTATACACCTGAGACGTGATGTAATCTTTTGATTTTCACTATACAGTAAGTATTAATACAAATATTTGCATTAAAGTTTTGTATCAAGATTCTTCTATTAAAACTTTTTACATAAACATTTCTGAACCAATTTTTAATTATTTTTTCCTTGTTTGTGTTTCTGTGAGTTACTGATGTTAAAGGGAACTCCACCTGTTCATACCATCAGTGCCGTACCAGCACGACGGCGTATGTGAACAAAGTTGTATAAAACCTTTCGTGGTTCCAGGGGGAGCCGCTGGTCTGATAATGATAATGTTATAGGAATGCAACGCTAAATCCGTGAAGTGCTATTTTAAGGTTCCCAAGTCCTTAAAGACTCGAACCATCCGGATGGAAAGATATCTGCTGCACAATATATATAAAAAAAGATTTAAATCTGTCTCATAGTTGTGACTGTTTCCTATTACAAAGACAGCAGCCAGAAATAACATAGCTCCGTCCACAATTTGTATAATGTAAACCATGTTTTAAAAAATGATCTAGATTTCATTAGATTTAGTTCCTTTAACTATGAGAAATTAATACAATTATCTGAGCGTTAGAAATCTGCCCTCATGCTGAATTTGATTACTTTAAACCCCAGTTAGACCAGTCTGCAGCAGGTTTACTCCTCAGACACAAGGACCTCTACAGGAGTTTTAAGTGCTTGTAAACTGGATTTACAATAAACCACAGGTCCAACTGCTGAGGACAGAAAACAGGTTTAAACTTGTCTTAAACCTTAAATGGAACAATAGAGCTAAAGTCCTTCTGGGCCGTCTGCATCACAGGACGGGTGCTGTCTGTTTCTGCAGTATAATGGATGTTCTCTACGGTCTCTGTCAGGAATCATGTGCAAAGTACAGATTGTTTATTTCTGGAGACATTTTCAGTTCATTTGCTTGTTTGTTGCACATTTGTCTTCAGCTTTTATGTTCTGGACCCAAGGGCAGACATCTCTGAGATGCCACAGCTTTATTTTTCCAATTTCTGTAAAAGATTATAACTTATTGGCATGTCCCATTGGGGAGAAGAAACACAGCGTTGTTTCTTCTCTTTTCTTTTTTTCTGTCAACAAAAAAATTAAAGCATTCTCCAAGTATGTTTTACTTAAAGTTCTTGTTTACATGCGTAACTGCCGGAGCAGCACATCAACATTTTTTAGCTTTGTGCTACAAATTCAAAATGTCACACGTTAACACTGATCAAAGCTCACTTTCTCCTAACAAAATAATATTGCACGTAACATCCTTGCACGCCAGCCGCCATTATTCTCACACTTAATATATATATACTGACGTCCTCGCCTTTTGCATTCACACAGATGTAGTTTATCCTCATACACAAACATCAGTAAGAAAGTCATCTTAAAAAAACACAGGGGGGCTAGAAATTACACTAATTTTCAAAAGGAAGTATTCTACACTATACTTGTACAAATCTCAGTTTTTTTTCAAGTGCTATACAGCAAAAAGAAATAGTGTTTTCTTTAAAATAAACGCCAGCAGGCTACTGCTCGTCCTCATTTTCCTGGCCCGAACCTTCGGAGCGGTCACCTTCTAGTTGATCTGCAAGAAGAAAAAGATATTTAAAAAAAAAAACAAGAAGGCGGACAAAGTCCTGAGAAAAGCACCACAAGTAAACAGAGAGCATCAATAGGCACAAATATTCAACGATTCGCATGAAAAAAAAGTTTGTTTGTACCTGATCTGATGTGATTAAGGGAGGCCAACATTCGGAGCATGAAAGAGGCTGGGACTGTGATTGTGTTCCTAGTTTCCTCTAGCATCAGCTCGTTCCGAGTTATTACCTTGAAACAAAACAGGTGAAGAGAATGTGAATGAGGTCGAGTCCAACAAATAATAGGTAAACAGGAAAGAGAAGGAAAACTGAGTTGGAAAAGACGCTTTTTCAAAGAAATCCATCCGTCTCCATCTCATGTTCTATCACATACAGAACCATGAACTCAGTTCTTTTATTGCTGCATGTACAGTGAAGAAGACTATTTGAAAAACATCTGTCAAATTTTGATTTTCGATTTTGGCTTCTTAACTTTGTTAGCTGTTAGCTTAGCATAAAGATTGGAAACGGTAACAACAGTGTAAACATTAATTAATAAGATCGCTCATTAGTTTGTTCTAATTGGTTTATGCACAAAACGAAACATTGCAGCGTTACAGAGGGTTATGTGCCCGAATACTTCTTGGCCATAAAAAGTGACTTTCTTAAGTCACCATGAGGTTATTTTGGTTGTATGAGGTTAATATTTCTGGAGATTGATAGAAAAGTATCATGTATAAATGGACACTTCCAATTAAGTGAAACATAATAATATTGTTTTTTATTAGTGGAACTGAATATTATGGTTTGCCATGTGTTCATTTTGGTTGTTGCTGCTGTTTAGTGTCCTGTAAGTGCAGGACCCTTAAATAAACCAATCAATCAATAAATTCACTGATTCCACTGATCTCCTGGCCGTCATACCTCATTAGCGAGAACTCTGTTGAAAGATGGCGACTCTTCCAGCGGTGACCAAATCTTGATATCATAGTCTATCCCTGAAGAAGCCAGAACTGAAACAGAACAGAGAACAAGAGATGAACATACATCGTCACATCATCTTGGGGCAGAGGATCTTCTGAGGAGCAGAGTGTGACTCACTGGGGTCGTAGGGGTGCGGCTGCAGGCAGTTGACCACGTGGTTGTCGGCTTCCAGCAGCATGAGGTGCTCTGCCGTGTGTCTGTCCCAGATGAAGATGTGGCCGCAGTCGGAACCGCTCATCACAAAGTTGTTGCCCCAAAAACAGGACTCCTTTATCTAGACATGAAAGGAATAAAAACACCTTGAATTATTCTACTGCTAATCATTAACGGGACAGTTCGACATTTTGGGATCGAGCTTATCTGCTTTCTCTCTGAGAGTTAGCTGACTGAAGTCTGAGCTGGAGATGGTTATCTTAATTTAGCATGAAGACACAAGTCTCTTTTATATCACTTCTTAAAACATTTCTTTAAAAAAAGCCTTTTATTTATTCTTGCACAATGTTTAATGTTTTATCTGTTATATTGGTATTGTTGGTTTTACCATATATTAGCGATGGGTATTTTATGCTTGTTTAAAACTATTGGCAGCAGTGTGGTTAGTTTTGCAATGTGTTTTATCTGTTTTATTGTTGGTACTTGTTCTTACTGATGGGTGTTTATTATTCTTTTATTTTCTTTTTTAAATTCTACCTCACTTCTGAGTGATTGTATTTCTCTGACTTTATTTTACCTCGTTGCCTCCTGGAATGTTTTTAATCCTGGTTCCCGCCACGGAAGCCATACATACAAATAAAGTTTATTATTATTAGCAACATGTTTTAATTGTTTGTTTACAAACAGAAATGTAAAAATAATTATTTTTGTAAGAAGTTATGTGGCCAAACTATTTCTGGACAAACAGAAGTTTATCCATCCGCCCAGAACTTCTGTGCAGCTCCTCTGACTGCAGCACAGGCTGCCAGATTCAGGTGGTGAGCACAGGTTTTAGTAAACATGTTTGTACAGGCATAGTTAGTAGTAGTGAACAGTGATGACAAGAGTCCAGGAAGTCATTACACCCAGTTGTTGTTAGCCAAGAAGTATTTATGTCATGTATTTTTCCCTAAAACCAAGAATTGTCATTACATTTTGTTTGTGTACAAATGACACAAGAAGACACAATGCTGATAGCTTTGGTCTCATATCCTGTTTTTGTGTTAAGCTAAGCTAACTGCCTCCTTGCTCCAGCTTCATATTTAACACACAGACATGAGAGTGGTATCGACCTTCATCTAACGAACAATATTTCCTAAAATGTCAAATTATTCCTTGAACAGTCTCACGAAGCCGCTAAAACTACTATGATGTAAACGGCGTGAGATGTACCATTGTCCTGGAGTTGCGGTGGCCTTTGTAAACCATTTTGACTGAGGGTCTCCTGATATTCTGGGTCTCGCTCTCCTCCATCTCCCTTCTCTCTTTCCTCCTGCGAAACAGCTCCTGGATACGAGCAGCTGCTGAGCGTCTGTGAAACACAAGAAAACCAAAACATGTGATTATAAAACACATAAAAACGATACACAAACCCATGCTGTAACCGATGCTCATGAAGCCCATGCTTTGAATCTCGAGTGAAATTTATATGCCGGTAATCATTTCAACCAATAACAAGCTTCGTTTCAATAAACCCCAAGCTAGAAAGCAGCCACTTTCAATGCAAAACACCTGCTGCTCCATTATAACTGAATTGAGCCTTTAATAGTGTTATTCAGAGTCTTGTCCATTAACTACAGTGCTACTAAATTAAACACACACATCAGGTCCTATTGAGGAAATCAAAACTTTAGATTTGTTCGGCTCCATGCACACATTCTTTGTTCATTCTCCATCTCTCTTCTCTACAAACTCTTCAAAATGCTGCTGTTATGCTGCTACCACCTGTGGAGTCAGTACTCACATGCACAACCCTCTAACTCTACCGTTAGCTGTGTGTATATTAGTTGGGGGGTTTTTTTTGTGAGTGAAATGACCAAACCAAGACAAAAACCATTATCTTCATTCTACACACATCACGATGTGCTGCTGAGTTTGAATGCTTTGCTGCATGTCACACACCTGACAGGTTAGATGCTTTTAGTTGCCAGTGCAGAAAACGTTACCTGATCATCCTATCTCCTACTGCAGATCCTCTGGAATTAAATCTATATTTGTAGTAAAACAGTCAATGGCAAGGCATGACAAAAACCCTTTAAACGTTATATTAAAACAAGAGTAATATATCTTAATCTACGAGATAATAACCCGCATTCAAGTACATGAGAGTTGTGTGAGACGTACCTCTGTCCCTGACCTCTGAACCTCGTCGATGGGATGAGAATGGGATCGTCATCGCTGTCGTCAGAGTCCTGGTTGCCTCGTGCGGGCTGACTCTGGCCCTCCTCTCCCTCCTCCGCAGTGGGCTCCGCTCTCCTGCAGCCTCCTGATGTGTCCTCCGTGCCCTCGGGGTGACTCCTCTCAAGTGGTGCAGAAGCCACGGTGCCCCCCTCGGAGGAGCCCTCCGCCGGGGCCTGAGCTGACGAGCTGCCAAAGGCACTGGAGCAGGAGGCGTCACACGGCGCCTCTGTGGAGGCGGCGGGCGCACTCTGCTGCCTCGAGGACCCAGAGGGAGCTGATGGGGAAATGCATATTAATACATTTTGCTGACCCGCAGTGGTTTAACTTCACATCTTCTTGCAGTGATGCACAGGTGTACTTTAGCACAGTGTGACATCAGTGGTTACAGCCGCAGCAGAGCGCACTTCTAACCACAACCAACCACACCCATCAGTGATGCACGTGAAACAGGCGCGCCATTTTTCATTCTAGTGTTCAAATACAATTTAATTTGAAATGTTCATGATGCTGCAGGACTCACCTTGCTCTGACACTGAGCTCTGCGTCGACAGACTCTCTCTGCTCTGTACCGCCACAGACTCGGTTGCTTTGGGACCTCCGCTGCCCATAGAGCTGGATGTACTACTGCTCCTGTGGAGGAAGATTAAACAGAGACTGAGTCCCTCCCAAGGTTTGGCCGCGTGGTTTACAATCGTTTTCAAATTGTTTCTCAGTGAGTTTGTTGTGCAAGGCTGATGATGTGTCTTTATCTACATTATGATGCTTGTTATTCATATTATACAGCAATTATAGATTCTATCATAACTGAGAAATTGTATTTAATACTTAAACTGACTTTTTATCTCTGCATGTTCAGGCAATCACTCACCACTCATCAGTGAAGTCCAGCTTGATGGTGCTGGTGGTGGTTCCCTCTGAGCTGTAGTGCAGGCTGAGGACTGGCTCTGCTGTACTGGGTCGACTGGTGCTGGTCGTGGAGATGGTGGCAGAGGTGGTGGGAGCGCTGTTGCCGACTGGTACAGACACAGGCTGATCAGGATGTGAACCCGCAGCTTCTGCTGCTCCTGAGAGAAGAGAGAAAAAAAACAAAGGCAAAGCAAGCAAGAATGATTTATTGGTCTTGTTAAAATCTGTTCTGCTTAACTCAGTTATGATTCTGATAAAATGTTTTAGCTGAGAGTTCACAGCATGTAATTGGTTTAGAAGCACACTGGAAACATGCAACCTCCTGTTGCATCACTTCCTTCTAATTAACAACAGAAATGAAGACATGCAGCAGACATTAACAGAGCGGACAAAGGTAGACGTGCTGTAACACACATATCGACTACCACCAGCCACAGCAACGAGACAGGAACACAAGATACATAAGTCAAAGCCCCTGAAGGATCATAACACACCTCAGCTGGTTATTATCGTCCTGTAACAACTTGGGTTATATTCATTTGTTTAAAAGGTCGACAGTTAGTTTGACTTTCTAAACTGATAATATCTGTGTATTATTAAGAGTTACAACAAAGTTTTGAAAAGACAACTTTTAGCT